GGACTTCCGGAGCACATTGTAACAGACAATGGAACGCAATTTACATCTGAGGAGTTCAAAACCTTTATGCAGCAAAATGGCATCCTGCATTCAACGAGTGCTCCAGGTCATCCTGCTACCAATGGCCTTGCAGAAAGGTATGTGCAGACTTTTAAAAGCGGAATAAAGAAACTCACATATTTGACTATGGACTTGGAAGATAAGATCTCTCTTTTCCTCATGCAGTATCGCACTACTCCAAACTGCACTACAGGCCAATCGCCAGCAGATCTTTTTCTTAACAGACATGTGCGCACTCGCCTGGACTTTGTTCATCCAGATGTCGCTGTCACTGTTCGCAGGAAGCAATACCTGCAAAAGTTCTATCATGACCAACGAGCTGTGGAGAGGTCTTTTGCTGAAAAGGATGCAGTGTACCTCCGTAACACCACAGGAGGAGGGAACAAATGGGTTCCAGGTGTAATAGTAAAGCAAACCGGACCAGTGTCTTACAAGGTTCAGGGACGAGATTCAGATGTCACGTTCAGGAGGCATGGCGACCAGTTGAGACCCCGGGTTGTAGAGGATGAGCTTGTTAAAGAGACTGATTGCTCAGGGGTTGACACTTCGATTCAACCCTGCACACCAGAAGAGGAAAAACAAGCAGTTCCTAAGCCTTTCGGAGAGGACAGTGAAGGGGTTGCTCAGAGTCCACGTCGCTCATCCAGAATAAGAAAACCACCGAAACCGCTATGACTTGTAATAAAAAAAAAAAGAGAAACCCTTGGATGGCACTTCAGTATAGGACTGTTATGGTCATATATATATGCGATGCTTATTTTGTTCTGTGCTGTTGTTGTTTAAAAAAAATAAATAAAATTAGTTAGCCTATATAGTGTAGCAACTTAAAGGCTACACATGACATTTCTCACTAGCGAGGTAATAACAGCGCTGTTTAGAGACGCTGCTGCAGAACACTGTTGAGGGACGCACAGAGGTAGCCTAATTCACACAAGCTCTCTCACTCTCATTCCCAGTGTTGCCAACTTAGCGACTTTGTCGCTAGATTTAGTGACTTTTCAGACCCCCTGGCGACTTTTTTCCAAAAAAGCAACTAGCGACAAATCTAGCGACTTCTTGGACAAACCTTATCGAGTCTCTGTGAACGCTGGTACTGACGCAATGGCGCGAGGTCAGCGTGCACACACCTCTCTCTCTGTGTCTGCTCTGTACAGCGAGCAGCTGAGAGGAGCAGTGCCTTCAGTTAAAATAGATATTATGTTGCTTCTCTAATTTTACATGCAAAAATAGCTGAAATCACAGCACAGGAATTGTATTTGTCTTGTCTTTTCTTATGTGCGCTTCATTTCATCAGACGATGGCTCAAATATTAAGCAGGATTTTTGTTCAGATTAACGTCTTGGAAGGGAGATCTAGTTATGCATTTCAGTCACTATTTCATATTTATTCTGTTGTCTGGCAACAGAAACAGTAATATATATAAATAAAAACAGTTTTATTGAGAATTTGGCTGCATTAAAATACAGTATGTGAGCACAGAGAGACAAACAAATGTAAAAGGCAACAGACGCGATGATGTCATGAATAACAATTGGGGAGCTAGTCGTAATGCATTGTTGTGTATGTATCAAGCATTGATTCGTTCCTGCTTTGACTATGGATGCATTGTATATGGG